ACTCCACTTCTAGCAATGGAAACTTGTTTTCTAAGCAGGTTCAGTTAGTGAGCAGGAAAGCTCAGTTGTTTGAAAAAACACTAGGAAGTAAAGGTAATCCAGTGTGAAGGATGAGCTAAAATTCTTTAGGGAATTTGCTTGAAAATAAATTTTATGCCCTTTCAGAGATGTAGTGTCCTAAATGAGCTGATTGGAAACCTGGCCTTGTGATCTTTTTTTCCACTGAAGCAAAAGAAGATTATATAAAAAAGAAATGGCTACAGGATCCAGGATTTTGCCTTTCTTTGTTTCCTGGAAGACTTCAATATATCCGCTAATTAGAGGTTGCAGTGAGCAGATATTGCACCACTGCACTCCAGCCTGGGCAAGAGAATGAGACCCTGTCTCAGAAACAAAAAGACATCCACTAATTAATGCAAAGTTAGTAATTAACTGGCTCCCTTTCCTAGAACATGGTCCAGGTACTCTGTTCACTTAAAGACTATCAGAGTTACAAAAACTGTTAGCTGGAACGATACAGGCATTGTTAAAATCCTTTGGTTACATTTATACTGTTTCTAGGGAACCTGGCATAGTGCTGCACTACTTGCACTATGGGTGATTTCACCCAGTCCTTTGATATTGTTGGCAGAAAGAAAAATTGATTTGGGTTTGAAGTGTGAAGGTCCCAAGCATCTGGCTGTTCTTAATCAAATGTGTAAATTTCCATTTGGAAGTTAGTCATATTTCAGTTACTTCCTTTTCAAACAGATGAAAAAATGAAATGCATATTCCTCCAGATAGTTCTGAATGCACTTTTTAAGCTGCATATTTATTTCCTCCCCCAGTAGCATAGACATCAACAACTCAATGAGTGTCTTTTTTCTAAAGGACATTTTGAGTTAAGTTTTACAGATATAAACTGGCTGATTGGAGAAATCCCTGGGAAGACATTTGTTTTCCCCCTTCCACCTTACAAATGTTAGAATAAGCAAAACTATAAGGTTTGCAGCAATAAGTGAGTTAAAGGAAAAAGGGGATGATAGCGGATAAGTCTTAGTACTTTCTTGTTAATGGGATTTTTTTTTCTTTATCTGTGTGTATTCTTTGGCCTAAAATAATATCTTGGTGTAAATTTGTATAAAAAGGGGCAAAATGATACATGTTTTCAGCTGATAGGTAAAAAAGTCTAGTTGTTGTTTTGGTTGGGTAAAACAGAAGGTCAGGGAGAATAATTTCTGCAAACACTACTATCCATTTTGGATTAAACAGATATTAATCCTATCATCTTGGAGTTTACATTTGGGAGAGATCAATGTTAATAAAATTGCCACACAAATTACACAACAGTATGTAAAATTATACCAGTAAAAAGTGCAATACATGAAAGGTCCATGATGCTATAGGACATATGGTATGTGGATATGACCTAAACGAAGGGTTAAGGAAGGGTTTCCTGAAGGCATGATTATTGGGATAGGATTTGAAGGAAGAATAAGAATTAAACTAGTGAAAGGAAAATTAGAGAGGGAGGAGAGTGTTCCAGACAGAGGAAATAGCACTTAGAAATATCCATGGCATGAGGAATCCTATCTCATTCTAGGGACTGAAAGAGGATCAATGAGGCTGAAACTCAGAAGAAGGGAGGAAGACTGATGCTAAAAGAGCATGTGACCCAGTGGCATTGTAAAAGATCTGCTACATTGGTGAGATTAATCAGTAAAGTACTTGTGTCCTTGAGGGAGAAATGAAGACAGAAGAATTGGAAGACTGGTGAGTATTTATTTGAATAGGAGAAAGGTAGTGAGCTGATCATATAGACAGACAGTGATCATGACTGTAGGTTAACTCTTCAATCACTATAGTGCATTGAGTTGTTACAATAAAGGACTCCTCTCAAAGGCTTTTCTCCTTACCCTTATTTTCTCTTTACAAACTGGTCTCCCTCTCACCTACTCTCACTTTACATCTTCTGCATTTGATCACTTTGCTCTTCCCACCTAGAAAGATATCCCCTTCCATTTTTGGTTTATTTAATACTGAATCATCCATCAAAATGTAGCACAAGTTCCACTTCTTCTAGGAAGCCCTCCTGGCCCTATCCATAGGACTTCATCTGCATCCTCTGATCTATTACAGAGCTCAATCTCCATATAACCGCCTTGATATATATATATATTTTTTTTTCAAAATTTACCTTTGGTATCCCACTTTTTTCATGTGTCTTTGTGTCTCTACCTAGACTCTGGCGTACCACAGGGCAGAGACTGTATCTTTTGCTTGTGGACTGACAAATGCACCAAGTAGTGGTCTAGGATGAGAGTTGGTAAAAGACCATTTATAAAGACGCAGACAATGTCAGCAACTGACAGAAATAGACATATTTGAGATAAGCAGAGAGGGGAATAAAAAGAACAGAGATTGGGGGTGGGATGGAGGAGAGGAAGCAACAGAGAAAGTGTTTTTTTTTTAGAGCCAGTCACAAGTAATAAAGCTAGTGTCAGCTTCACACTAACTTGTTTACTGGCCTCCACTGATAGTGAGAAGAGTCACAATAGAGCTGAAGAAATAGAGAGAATAAACAAGCTTGAAACATGCCCTACTTTGGAGGCAGCTTAATTACACAAACCGAGGTTTTGAAGCAAATAGAGGATCCCCCAAGACCTCAGGGGCTCTGCTCTGCCAAGAGAAAGAAAGCACCTTATCCCTGGACAGAGAACTTCATTCCAGAGGAGGGGGAGGGGCTGCTGTTGGTGGTGGTTGCAGTGGGTGGAGATAGAGTAGAGAAGGCTTGCAGGGGTGGGCTGGCAGAGGGGAAGGGCCAACAATGAAGTTACAGATGGATGAGTGGGTTTCTGCCACAAAATCAGATGAAGGAGAGAGAGGGAAAGACAAAATATAGGGAGGAAAAAAAAAAAAAAAAGAAGAAGAAGTGTGAGTGACCAAGGCAGTAAACCTGTAGAAAATTAGAAAAGAAAAACTTGCCAGGGGAGAGGTGGGAGGAGGTATACAATCGCAGATAACTCTCTATTATAAATAGATTGCATCTGCACTATTTATTTTATATTTTAGCAAACCTCTGAAATTTTCGTGGTAATTAGACTTACTGCGAGGCAGTTATTTAAAAAGTATAGACCCTCCTTTTGCCACAGAACACTCCCTAGTCCTTGGAAGATGGGTGTCAGAGCTCTGGGACCCTAGTACATCTCTGTCTGGGGGCACTTACCTGGCTTAAGTGAGTATAGTATTAAATTTTACTTCATATTTTTGTGATGGTGTGAGATTGAATTTTGCACAATGTGATAGGAATATATTTACAGTACCTTTCATTTTTGCCTTTTCCTTGCCCCCTACTTATTATTATCAATATTGTTGTTGTAATTATTTTAAACAAGTAGGAGTGAATATGGTATGCGTAATTGAAACACTCCTCCTTGTCTGAAATTTTGTCTCCTCCTCTGCAGTCCTGCAGTAACGACAGGCACACAGGCTTTCTCTGTGGATTAATTGGTCAGGAAAGACATTTTTTATATTGTCAAGTGGCACTTAAGCCATTAATTCTTGACTGTGAAACTGCTTTTCCTGGGCAATGCTCTTTAAGGAAAAACTTATTCAGTCCAGTGACTGGTGACTAAGGGAACGATGGAGCACAGGGGATTGGGCGGGATCTAGACTCCTAATAATGCCTTCTTAGCCAATGAAAAGCATTTCCTATTGAGACCCCCAAGAGTTCCCCTGGCCCTCGGCTCCAGCTCGGACTTCAGGCCTTTTTGTGTCCTGTTTGCTAAAGGCATGCGGGCTACAGCATTCAAGAGAGGGAGTCGTTAACAAAGGGAAAGAGATAAATGTAAATAAGCTCACATTTTCAGAATGAGCGGTTTGCAGTAAGAAGCTGCGGCAGCCCAGAGTCTGCTACTTTAGGCTGGGCTAACCTTTCCCTGTTAAAAAAAAAAGAAATGGATAAAAATATGCACTTCCAAAGGGCGAGGTGCCCATTTACATGTTTATTAGTTAATTATCTACAGGCATCAGCACATTCTCTCATCTAGCACACTCTTTCTTGGGGTAAGTTTCTCTTTGAGAAAGATTTGATTTTGGCGTTTGGGGGTGGGGGATAGCATAACAAACTACAGTGGAAACACTGATGCTTTGAGAGTGTAAGGAAAGAAGTTAGACTTCAACTCTGAAGTACTGAACAAGGATCTTCGTGTTGAATGGTAAAAAACGAGAATTTCCATTGTTTTGGCAATAATATTGTTTCCGTGGAACAGATACAGGATTTTCAGGCTGCTGTTTCATGTAAACACAGTTGTTCTAAAGAGCTAATTTAAAATCACAGTGTAGAACAATTTAGAAAGTATATTGGCTAGCTTTGTATTTCTTTGGTTTACAATTTATTGTGAGCTAACGTGGCTTGTATTATGATGAGGTTTCTTCTAGTAAAACTATACATGACATGCCTTTGATGCTTAATTGATTTATGGAGAATGTGACATTTGCTATATTGAATAATTCATGAACTTGCCCATAAAGGAAGAATCATGTTTGAATGAAAAACTCTGTCATAAACTGCATTTGCTATTATATGTGAAATTAATTGCTGTTCGCCATACAAATGCATCAATATGTCATCTTTAAACTCTCTTCTTGTAAATTTTAAATATTTTCAGTAAAAAGGTCTTACTGAGTTGATAAATATTGTATTTCAGTTACTTTTTAAAATGAAATTCAGCAATGTAATTTATCATTATTTCAGTGTGGAAAAGACCAGACAAATTCAAAGGTTAGAACATTTCAGAGCTTGGTGGGGTTATTCAGTTTGCTACCTTACAAAATTATACCATCTTTATTTATCTTGACTAACATGAAGACAATAATAATAACCTGAGATCCAGATTATCCAATGGCTTTGCAACACGTTTATTTTTCAGAACAAAATTCCAAACATTGTATCCCATCAACATAGATTATAAAACCCTTTGCCTTGTCACAGATGAAAAGTTGCACTCTTGCCAAGAAGGATGAGTTCACCTGATAAACTTGATGGCATCTACATTCTAAAGCATCTCCTGCCTATCAGAGATGAGAATGAAAGCCTTATTGGAACAATCAGGCCTGTCTTTCAGAATGTGCTCTGCAAGTAAAAGGGAGAACCAGGAAGATGCCTCACAGAAACATTCAGGCCAAGCTTAGCTAAAGCTTGATCTATTCAATTGCCTTTGTGGGAAAATGCAGTGAGAATTGTTGCCCTTGCTGTGGTTTGTTCAGCGCCTAATTGTGTAGTTACCTTTTGTCTGTGTATGTGGTCATGATATATAGTCTGCCCTTTGCCTTCTTGATGAGGGAAGAACAAAACCTGTAACGTGTTTGCGAATATTAGTACTGAAAATTGGGAGCCTGATAAAAGGTTACCTACCACTGGGAATCCACCTTTACTTTAAGTGGATAAATAATCAGTTATGAGAACAATGCATAGGGTAAATGATCTAATGATTCTACATGGTTATGTCCTGAAGTATGCTAATAACCTCATATTCTGAGGGGTGAAGTGACCAGGAAACAGGTGGGAAGGGTTGAGGGTTGAGACCTAATAATTAGAGTTGATATGCCTGCCGAAATGAGCACAAGGACAGAGGATGAGGAAAATAAGGGAATTTGGAAGACTTTAGGATATTAGTGGCATCTTTCTCTGTGATTCTTAGCTTCTGGTATTAATTAATACTATTTATTTCTAATATTCAAATAAATCTAGTAATCATTTCATTAAGTTTAACAAAAATTAATGACCCTCCTTGCTTGCAGACTTTGAGGAAATAAAAAATGTTTTACAGTGGCCAATGTAAACAGGTGAAAATAAATGATGGAAAAGAATAGCCAATAAGGCCACCAGCATGGCACTCGTTGAAGGTTGCTTTTCTGTCAGTCAAAACCGAAGATTAAAGGAGAAGAGAAACTGAGACTCAGAAACGGACTGTGACTTGCTCTCACAGTGCTCGTGATGGGGCTGGATGTGTCTATATTTAATTAGTATTAGTTATAAAAACTTCTGGGTACTTGAACTTCCTAATTTGATTGGATTTTGAATAAAAATTTTTCTGTATAATCTTTATCAACTGTGAAAGGCATAAAATAATGTTAATGCTTCTATCTTCCTTTACGATAAACCAATAAAATAATATTCATTTCATTCCAGGAATACAGATTTCTGGTGGAGTGTGAAAACCAACTCTCCTTAATATTAAGATGATCTCAATATATCTTAAATTATCTAATCATTTTATTTATTTTGGTTTTTTAGATTGTAGAAAAATCATTTCAGGAAAGTCGTAATACTATTTAGCAGTTTGCTTTGTTTTAGTCTACCTCTGTTTTGAAAAGGATGAGATGTAACAATAGTGTAAGTTTGGAGCTAGGGGATGATTCTACTTTACAGGTGGAAGCACTGTAATGGGTAAATTCTAAATGCAGTTGCTACTTGTAAGAATTCCATTGCAGAGTATTTCTTGTTCTATACAAATATTTTGTGCAGAGTTTGAATTGGAGATGTTACAGACATGCTATATTGGGTAGGCCTGGGACATCCTGGTAAAGGTGCAGTGATTGTCAGTCAGTGTGCTAATACCCGGTAATTGAAGCCTTGATCATATCACTGTAGTTCAGTGGAGAGAGAAATTGTGTGGGGTGTAGGTAAAAAACAAGACAGTGGAGTCTCCACCTGTTGTTCCAGTCATCTTTCACCTTCCCTTATGAAGGACTTGCCCAATGGTAACAGTTGTTGCCAAGAAAAGAAGAAGAAGAAAAAAAAAAAAAAAAAAAACGTTAGTTCACACCAAAACAAAATTCTCCTTGGTTTTAGTATTTTTAATGTAACACATTACTTTATGGAAGTGGAGGGAAGTATTTTTATGTCTTTTGTCACTCATTATCTTTACGATTATAGGTTACCACATGTGGATTTTATGCATTAGGGTTTAGTCAGTACTACTAACAAAATATAGCACAGCAGTGACAGGTTGGAAAATACATTGTTTTTTTTTTTTTTTTTTAAATTTATTTATTATTATTAAACTTCAAGTTGTAAGTTACATGTGCACAACGTGCAGGTTGCTTTCCCATATGTATACTTGTGCCATGTTGGTGTGCTGCACCCATCAACTCGTCATTTACATCAGGTATAACTCCCAATGCAATCCCTATCCCCTCCTCCCTCCCCATAATAGGCCCTGGTGTGTGATGTTCCCCTTCCGAGTCCAAGTGATCTCATTATTCGGTTCCACCTACGAGTGAGAACATGCGGTGTTTGGTTTCTGTTCTTGTGATAGTTTGCTAAGAATGATGGTTTCCAGCTGCATCCATGTCCCTACAAGGACACAAACTCATCCTTTTTTATGGCTGCATAGTATTCCATGGTGTATATGTGCCACATTTTCTTAATCCAGTCTGTCACTGATGGACATTTGGGTTGATTCAAGTCTTTGCTATTGTGAATAGTGCTGCAATAAACATACGTGTGCATGTGTCCTTATAGCAGCATAATTTATAATCCTTTGGGTATATACCCAGAAATGGGATGGCTGGGTCATATGGTACATCTAGTTCTAGATCCTTGAGGAATCGCCATACTGTTTTCCATAATGGTTGAACTAGTTTACAATCCCACCAACAGTGTAAAGTGTTCCTATTTCTCCACATCCTCTCCAGCACCTGTTGTTTCCTGACTTTTGAATGATAGCCATTCTAACTGGTGTGAGATGGTATCTCATTGTGGTTTTGATTTGCATTTCTCTGATGGCCAGTGATGATGAGCATTTTTCATGTGTCTGTTGGCTGTATGAATGTCTTCTTTTGAGAAATGTCTGTTCATATCCTATAAAAATCCTAGAGGAAAACCTAGGTAGTACCATTCAGGACATAGGCATAGGCAAAGACTTCTTGTCTAAAACACCAAAACAACAGCAACCAAAAGCCAAAATTGACAAATGGGATCTCATCAAACTAAAGAGCTTCTGCACAGCAAAAGAAACTACCATCAGAGTGAGCAGGCAACCTACAGAATGGGAGAAAATTTTTGCAATCTACTCATCTGACAAAGAGCTAATATCCAGAACCTACAAAGAACTCAAACAAATTTACAAGAAAAAAACAAACAACCCCATCCAAAAGTGGGCAAAGGGAAAATACATTGTTATCTGCAATTCTGTAATAATGAAATCAATGCATATATAAAATACTATTTTAAAAATTTATTGGGTCTCATTTACTCTAGTTTATATCATATAATGCTTTTTCTATCTTATGATCTTTTATAAGATCATTTTATTGAAAATATACATTTTATTGAAAAACTATCAGCTCTCTTTATGGCACACTATTATTACTATTTCTATTTCACAGCACCCATTGGAGGAAATCTCTAACTACAGTACTCAGGAAGCTCATTGGATTATTCCAGTCTTAGATAAAATTGGTACTGGGATTTGGTTCGAACTAATGTGGTGAGTCTACCCTCACAATGTACTTTCTCTACAAATTCCTAATTTAATTCTTCTACCTTTGCTGTAACAAATAGTTTCCAACTTATTAAGATTGTATCATCCGAAGATCCAGAATGGATGGAGGAATTGTAATTGTTGTAATCAGGCAATTTTGATGTAGATGAATATTAATTCTTTAGCTCAACCTCTCTCTGCCACTGGGATTTTCCTTTAGATATGGGAGACTCTTTTTATTGCTATTACCAGGTTCAGTGTCCAAGTATATCACATGAATTGGTGTCAAACTGATAACTTCAATTTGCCTGTTCAAATATATGGAATAATGTCAAAATCCTGGCCGGCATATATGACCCTTACAGAAGTGAAATATGAGTTATTTTGGGAACACCCAAAAATTGTCCCAAAAGATTTGAGGCTTCTGCTGAGATGAGATATTGAGTCTCAGGAAGCTCAAGACAATTTTATAATATTAGGTTAGACAATTTACCTGTAGTTGACTTACTCTGTAACTAAGTACTATGGAAAATTCTGCTTTATTAGGGCTGACAGTGCAATCTTTGGCCCCATCATAATGAGCACCCAGACCACATTATTTCTAAAAGATTGGACTGTGTTATCAAGTGAAGTGTTAATGAGAGACTGAAGTATTTTTTTTTCTTTTTGATGAAAAGAAAAAATATCAAGTTAATCACTGAGAATGGATTTTTATCAAATTGAGGCCCATATCAGTTTCCTATTTTCCTCAAGTAAAACGGAGGGACAAAGCAGCCTTAATAATCTTATTGAAAACCAGATTAGATGTAGATAAGTCACTTTCCCAAAAGGATATTTCTTGCATCCAAAATGGAAGGGATTGATATGAATCAATTTCCTAACTCCATTCTTGAGTGAAACATTTATCTATGGTTCCCTCCATATGGAATGCCATAAAGTTAGGTTTGTTTTAGAAACTATTACGGCATCAACCAATGCATGGGAACATTGATACAAAACCTGCATGATTGTGACCTATGCCTGTGACTTGACTGAGAAAATTTCCTTAAGGTGTCTTATCTGTTAAAAACCACTGATTTGAGAAGCAACAGTCTGAACATATTCCCTATTGCTCCAGCAGGATTGTTTTGAGCTGTATTTTCACAACGTTTGTGTATTTTTAAATCTGCTTCACTGCTAAGTATCTATAGATAAGAACACAATAGATTTCATCTTCCTCTGAAAACTATTGTGTCAACTTTCATAAACTTTGACCAGAGTAGAACAAGGGAAATGCTCTGGGGATCAAACACTCTGACCTGGCGCTTATTAAAAGTGGAGCAAAGCAAAAATAATTTTAGTATACTCTGCCTTCAAGGCCTTGTCTTCCTGAGCTCTGGACTGTCCTCTGTAGGGACAAAAAGCAAGTCAGCTTTTCTAGGGTACTAGAATATTATGCCAGAAGTTGGAGCTTTGTTCCAGTGTATCATCTGAAAGTTTAGCATTTCATGAAGTAAAGTGATTTGGTTATTATATAGGGCAAAAGGCTAACTTTACTTCTTACAGGAGCTAATAAGGACCCCAAACATGGTTTTTGCTTGTATTTTACTATCATTAGGAATTTTTGTTTTATTTTTTTTGAAAAGAGGAAATAATTGTGGACACTCTGGATTAGCTCCATGTGTAGATCGAAGTTAAAAGTTGGTCAGATTTCTTTCCAGTCCAACCTCCAAAATTACTTCCTGTCCATCGTCAATAAAAATGCAGCTATCCAACACTCTCTGACACCCTTAGGTATTAAATGTCAGAATAATTGGCAGCAGAGGTTTGCAGAAGACAGTAGTTTAATGCTTCTTGCAGTGGAAAATGTAATTAACTGCATCAATTATATATTTTCCTTCTTCATCATCCTGAGCTCAAGTGTTGGTCCTTTGTCTTCATTTGGTGCACAATATGTTGGCTATTTAGGAGGATCTAATAGATAGAAACACTGTTTCTTTTAGTCAAAAGAAAGGAAGCCAGTAAGAAGAGAGGCTAATATTGATTCTTCTTCAGAATCATCTCAAAAACCAAATGCCTTTCTGGTTTTTAATCCATACCTGTATAGAATATTACCTTGAGGGCACACTCCTAGATTGTCCTGTTTGAGTAAATTATGTAGTTAAGGCTGAAACTCAAGGGGGTGCTTTCTGAGGTACAAGGTATACATGACACTAGAAGGATGTGTTCCTAATACTGAACTTCAGGGTACCAAAAGAGACAGAAATATGAAGTTACAGTTGTTTCTGGGAAAGAAGGAAACAAGCTTATATAATGTTTCTCTGTGGTTAGGTAGAGCCAAACACTGGCCAGCTCATAAAGCAATTCACAAGCCCTATTAGATCTTCCTAGCTTTCGCTGTAAGGGCTTAGAGGTAAAGGATTTATACAAGGAAGAATATAGCCAAGTTACAGAGTGAACCAGTGTCTGAGTCAGAAATAGAACTCCTTGCTTCTAATGCTGTGTTAAGTCCCAGCACACACCCTCACTTCTAGACAGCAAAGGTGGTTGTGTGTTCAAGCAACAGGAGCTATGAATAGGGCCATAGTGGCAGTTCCCATGCCCTCTCTTCAGGATTAGAGAATGTAATGCTTTCTTGTCTGTCCTTTCTCTCCCCACAAAAGTTTGATTACTCAGAGCAGCAGAGCAGAAGTGCCAGGCATTTGCAGGCTGCTTGCTGTGGAGGTATAATGTATATGTTCCCTTGAACATAAAACTGAAGTGAGGGGATGGATATGTTAGTGCTTGACATAATCACCTCACGTAGTATACATATATTAAAACATCATGTACTTACATAAATGTAGTATAATTGTGATTTGTCAGTTAAACATAGTACACAAATAAAAAATAAAATGATTGAAATCATAAAATATCTGAATGGAAAACTGGGGAGGTCTATTTGAAATATATCAACTTGAGAATCACAAAATAATATACAGCCAGTGAGCTAGAATCATGCTGCATAAAAGGATCACTAGTGGGCAGACTGGAGGACTTTGGGCAGAAGGAAAGGCTTCTATTATAAAGCATTTTCCAAAATAAATAATTGTACTGGCAATTACTTATTGTAGAAGATAAGTTCAAGCCAATCATAATTAGATAAAGCCGACTTTAATGTTAGAGATTTTGCAGTCCCATAAATTCTGTTTTAATGATCAGTTTTATATTTTGGACTCTTGATTGTCCCACCTTCCTCACATTCATTGCAATGCTATATTGCACTTATTGTATTAGTGTGAGCTTTCCTGCTCCTATGACATACTCTTTAGTACCTTTAAATATATGATAGATATTCAAAAATACTTGTCAAACCAAATGGAATGTGCATGTTTTTCAATCTGCTGGAGTGGACAAGAATATCTTATTACACAGAAATATATGGAAGGCAAATTTGATTGTTGTTCCATCTTGTCTCTCATAGGAGGAAAATATTTCCTACCAGTCCTAGTGTCAAGTGGTGAACCCCTGCAGCCAGCAGGCCTCCTGAAAAAAGTCCATGGGTAATGAAGATTCATTGACTTCCAATTCCAAGATTCAAATTCAAGCCTCAGACCCAGGTTGAGGCAATGCTACTGCCAATAATACTTGCAATTGTTGATGATTCCTTCAAGTATAATCTGAATGGTGCTGTCTACAGTGTTGTATTCATCTTGGGTCTGAATGCTTTTAACAATGTCTCTGTTTGTCTTCTGTTTCGCATGAAAATGAAGTGAGACTGCTATTTTTATCACCAATCTAGCCCTCTCTGATTTGCTTTTTGTCTGTACCCTACCTTTTTAAAATATTTTTACAACTAGCCGCCCTGGCCTTTTGGTGACACCCTCTGCAAGATCTCTGGAACTGCATTCCTTACCAACATCTATGGCAGCATGCTTTTTCTCACCTGTATTAGTGTGGATCGTTTCCTGGCCATTGTCTATCCTTCCGATCTCATTACTATTAGGACTAGGAGGAATTCTGCCATTAATGTGCTGGTGTCTGGATCCTAGTCCTCAGTGGCGGTATTTCAGCCTCTTTGTTTTCCACCACTAATGTCAACAATGCAACACACCTGCTTTGAAGGCTTCTCCAAACGTGTCTGGAAGACTTATTTATCGAATCCACAATATTTATTGAAGTTGTTGGGTTTATCATTCCTCTGATATTGAATGTCTCTTGCTCTTCTGTGGTGCTGAGAACTCTTCGCAAGCCTGCTACTCTATCTCAAATTGGTACCAATAAGAAAAAAGTTCTGAAAATGATCACAGTACATATGGCAGTATTCGTGGTATGCTTTGTACCCTACAACTCTGTCCTCTTCCTGCTTGTCGTGAGTGCGCTCCCAAGCTATTACTAATTGCTTTTTGGAAAGATTTACAGATCATGTACCGTACCTTGTGCCTTGCAACTCTGAACTGTTGTTTTGACCCTTTCATCTATTACTTCACGCTTGAGTCCTTTCAGAAGTCCTTCGTCAATACCCACATCAGAATGGAGTCCCTGTTTGAACTGAAACACCTTTGACCACAAAGCCTTCCTTCAGCTATTCAAGAGAGTAAGTGATCAAACAACAAATAATGGTGGTGAATTAATGCTAGAATCCACCTTTTAGGTATAAAGAAACTGTCATTCAGGTCCAGATATGGTTTCTCCTATAAGTTTTCCTATGCTATAAACTAAAGATTTGAAGCTAATGATACTGAGAACAATGCACCAAATCCAGTCAGATACATTTGTTTGAAGGTATACTGTGCAGTTTTTATTGCTGTTTTGTTCAGTAATTATAGGTCAAGTCTAATTACAACAACCAAGATGGATGCCAAACTCTCCTGCTTGGTTGGAACCCTCATCGTATCACACTATCCATGTGGCCAGTGGCATTTGATAATATAGAGATGACTTTCAGAACTTTCAAAAAGGTATTTCCATTCCAGTGATATTTGATAATTAGGTTGGACTATAAAATATAGAACAAATTCAGGATTTTAAAAATTGTGTTACTCTTTGTTATGCTAGTTTATTTCTCTTTTGAATTGTCATTGAGTTATTTTAGCACAAAGAATATTTTTAGCCTAACATTATTAATAAGAAATGTGTCAAATTTTTGTCATCGGTAAAATATGTTATGTGCATTTTGAAAACAGAATAAATTGTGTTGGCATGTACGTGGGTGGGAAGAAGAGAAAATTAATGGGATTTACAATTATAATCACCAGCAGTGTGAGTTTAAAAAACTAAGTTGGTTTTACATTAAAATTTTCATATCTGACTTCAAAGCCAGAAAGCTGCCTAAATATGTGTCTGGCAGGTAAAAGCTGGAAAATTGCCAAAACAATAAAATGTCAATAAAAACTGGAGCAACAACAACATTTTTTCTTAAAAAGTCATGTTATCTTCATTTTGGGGAAATTGGTTCTATAAAATCTTTATCCTCCCTATTATACTTTGGAGCACAGCACAGCCAGAAAGGGGCTGCATTTGTGCCCAGGTCAGGAGCAAATTGAAAAAAATAAAGTAATAGAAATGATAAACTATAAGCAAAAATATTTATTAAAAACTGAATTAATCATTTTGGAGGGAGAGTAGAGATACATTACCTGAAAATACTTATTCTTTCTTATTAGCAGATTTTGGAGTATAATATAGCCAGGAACTGCTGATTTCTGCCCCTAGATTGGAAGCAAATCGAAAAAAATCCAGCACATAAGCTAAACCAAACCAAGAACAAAAACTAGAGAACCCCAGAGAAAAACAAAAATAATAATAAAAAAACCCTCAAAATAATTTGTAACCTTTCATTTACCTTTTGTTGAGGTTCTGTAAATTTAAAAATACCATGTCATTTGCATAAAATGTTGAAGCACAATGCAGCTACAAAGTGGCTAAATTCATCTCCTGGTTAGGAGCAAATTGTGGGAAAAAAAGGTCAAAAATCAAACTCCTATCAAACAAACAAAATGAGCACAAACAAAATTTAGAACTTGCATTTTCAGACATCTGAAAAAGTTACAAGCCTATAACATTCATATGATGCTTTGGATCAAAATGCAACTAAGAAGCTGCTAAACTGGCACCCAGTTTAAAAGCAATTAAAAACAATGTTCAAATCTACAAAAAAGAAAACATTTTTTATAGTTTACTTAAACAACAAAAATCTTTAAAACTCTTACTATTTTTTAAACTAAAGTGGATATTTAAGAATATTAAAACTTGTAAATATAACTTCTGAGTTGAAAGATGCTATTTTACTCAAGTCAAGCAGTGAAATAAACCCTCACATACACACATACACAGCAGCAACAACAACAAAAAAATTAAATGTTACACCCTGAAAAACAACAGAAGTACTTTCAAAATGTGCATTAATCACTTTTAAAAATATTTGGATAATATGACAATTTAAAAATGCTAAGAATTTTAAAATAAAACTTTAGAACAATGTATCCTGTAGGTTGAACTTGTGCCAGAAAGTGGTTAAACATTTATAAAGCACAGAGAATAACAAAAAAGTAAAACTTCTAAAACAATAAACAATTTTAAAAATTCATTAACTTGTTTTTTCCTGATGATATACAGACTTAAAAATACTGAGATTTTAGTAAATCTATGTGAAGCGTAATGTAACTTTAAAAACTGTAAAATCTATGTCTGGGTTAGGAATGAAGTGGAAAAATGCTAAAACAATAGTAAAAATAAATTCTTAAAACTGGCATTACTTTTTCCCAATGAAAGTCCTAAAAGTAATTATGCATTATATAGTTTTATGAAAAGAGGCTATAGATGGAATACGTAAGGCATTAGATTCAGTTAAATACAATTAGGTTAAAATTAAGTTCAGTTGTTAGATTATATGGTAGGATGAAATCAGTAATAGAAGCATGAATAATCTTTTATTTCTTTCAGTATTCATGTTTTCCATTTCTTTTAAGTATAAAATATGTATGAACGTTTGTTTGTGCCCTTGCTTCTTAACATTATAAAATTTTATGATTATGGCATAAACCATTTAATGGGATATTAACTAAGTTGAAATAAAATATATTATTAAATGTTTCTTGTTGTGTAATTTCCATGTTTAGTTTTAATTTTTTTATATTTCACTTTTTAAATTTCCATTTTTATAGTTAATATAAATTGCTAATAATAAAACTTGTCACATTAACAATGTAACCAAGAAAACGTAAAGTATAACTAAATATAAAAGTGACTATGTTACATCGAAAGGAAAAGCAATTTCTGACTATAATTGCAACGGATTTTTAAATGTTTATTAAATGTAATAAAATATATTTGAATTATCTAGCAGTTATACTTTGATCAATTATTCAACTTCCTTTTTATTTTGTACCCAAAAGCATATCTTCTTTATCTTCCCTCCATCTTTTCAAAAAGGAATTATTGGAATATATTTGCTCAAATTAATTTCAGTAATTCATTTCTGAGAACTATCTGAAGACAATGCAAAATTGGCAAATAAGCCATGGGTAACTTTTCCAGGGATCAAGACAAAAGGAACTAATGACCTCTTTTCCTGATTTCTAACTTGAGTTTGATTTATTTGGGATTGTTATTAGGACTTTGGATTTTAATTTCTAAGTTAAACAAATATTCTAGGACAACTGGGAACCCTGGGAAAAGCTAGGGCAAACAGATCATCTGACAACAATAAGATGAATGTAGACCTAAGTGGCTGACAGATTAATACCTAGAACAGGTGATGGTCGATATAGCAAGACAGGGAATTTCACAGTGCATCATTCTTATACCTCTAACTCTGGGGATGGCAGTGTCAGCATCTGAAGCACCATATGCTGTGTTAGGTCCCCGAGATGACAGCAAACTCTGCATTTTCAGTCATAACTTCGCATGATCGACTCAGGCTACATTTAAAACTGAGTATTTTGCATTAATGATATCTAGGCCAGGTCTAGCTCTGCATAAAGGGACAAGCTGTAGATTTCATATCCTATTTGCCCTCTTCTACCTTTTTCTCACCCCCAATCCTGTACCTTATATTTAATATGGTTTCCCAGCTTCCACACTCTCTACCTGTTTTTCCCGTGGTCTTTGTGTTCTCCAACATCTTTTCCCACCCTCCTCAGAAATATTGCTTCTTCCTGAACAAAAACACAACACATAAAGCTCTGTCAAGACAGTGACAGGCTGAACAGATTTACATTAAGGTGTGAATGATTGATCCCCCATTTTTCTCTCCTTGACTGGTTTTAACCTTCTGGTGTTCGCATGTAGAAAAAGGAATGTGTTTAATTCAAATGACTGTCAAGCAGGGTCAGGATGGGGAAAACATGATTGTCCTAGTAAATGGTAATCATCTGTCAAGCCTCAGCCTCTCTTCACTTGTAGGGTGGAGCTTCTGCACTGCAGACTTTCTTGTCCTGCTCCCTTGAGCCCACTTTGTGTTCTGTTGAGTCCAAAACATACACCACCTGCTTCTAGACAGCCCTCTTTTCCAAAACCACCTGAAGTGACTGGGAGCCTGTATTCTCATTTCATATAGGCATGGATTCTTTCCCTCAACTATCTCCTGATTCTGGTAGGTTTGGTGAAATTAGAGTAAAATAAGAAGCAGATTGTTTTTATATTTTATGAACAAAAGCAAAAGAGCACAAGCTACTGATCAAAATCTCCACTGTGTAGAGTTTTAGAACCATGTACTGCCTACTGTTTTGCTTCCTTCCCTCTCTGAGGGCCTGGAAATGAAGCTCTTCTTTACTAAATATACAGAGAGATACTGAGTTCAGGACTTCAGAGGAACAGGTCTAGTGTGAGGCCTAAAATGCTGTGATGAAGGAAGTCAAGAAAGCGGGTTCTCAAGTTGGCATGCCTTGTGTGGCCCTAGCAGTAGCTTTCCTTCTGTTTATCAGCAGCAGTTCAGACTTTGTAGATAAAGAGTAGTCACAAAGAGCCTTCATGCCTTACATTGATGTTCCAGGGTAAATTGTCTTCTCTTCATTGTCACCTTTCCTCCTCAAGTTGGTGGTATAAAACCAAAACTATGGGTCTTTCCTCAATTGGGAACCTGGAACTTCTTGACTGAACCCAGTTCAAGGCAGTTTGAAGTTCCTGAGAAACAAATTGGCTGGGACAATGCCTAGGGATCCAAAATTCATTCATTTACTTATTCAACAAATTTCTTGAATACCAACCATGTGTCAGACGTTCTTCTAGGCACTGAGGTACAATGGTGACAATAACAGAAAAAAATCCTTGTCATTTTAAAACTTATGCTCTAGAGTCAGAGCAAGCAGAACCACCAACAAACAAATAAACAAGTTAAAAGTAATAACAGTGTTTATGGCTTGGAACCATGGAGGGTGTCAAGAGAAGAAGAAGAAGGTTTCTGTTGTGCAAGAAATCCTTAGAAAAGCAAAATAATTTTGCAAAGCTGAAGATCAATCACCGGGGAAAGTTTTAAAGATGCTTTGAAAAACAAAGGAGAAAAACTTATCTATGAAACCGCGAAACACCCCTATTTACAAGGAATACAGGCAGGTGTACAGACTGAAATTCAAATGGCTTAAAAAGGATGAGTTTGTGTCCTTTGTAGGGACATGGATGCAGCTGGAAACCATCATTCTTAGCAAACTATCA